TAGATGTAACTAAACTAACGAAACGTCCGTCGGACCCCCCCCCCCCCGTCTATAACATGACTATAGCAGAAGAGCCAAAGCAGCCTTCCCCAACAGAATGCCCTCCAGATGTGCTGGGCTTCAACAGTTCCTAGTTAGCATGGTCAAAGATTTAGAAAAGACAGTCAAGCCCATAAGAGACTATAGTTTGATTGGATTGCAGGTCACCTTTGAGGGAGCGCCCCAAGTAAAGAGATTAGGACATCCCCTCAAATGGACTGCACTCCCATGATTCAAATGGCTTTGGGCCATGCCAGTTTAAACTTTTGAGGGCAGTGTAGTGGCCATCAGATCTAGAGGACCCCAAACTGGGAAGGTTAGTGTAGAAGAACAGGTAGGATGGGAAGCGGTCCCCAAGAATGTACAATGACCTCTGCCCTCTCTGGATTTACAACAGGGCTGACCAAACTAATGGTACAGTTGGAGGTGGGCCCTAAGGGAACACATGAGAGCCATGACCATGGTGACCATGACCACAGCGACCACACACATGATGGTGGGCACACACATGATGGCCATGACCACAGTGGCCATGCACATGACCATGACCACAGTGGCCACACACATGGTGGAACCACACACGACCATGGCCACAGTGACCATGCACATGGTGGACACACACATGATGACCATGACCATGAAGATGCTACACACGATCACCCAGATAGTCATGACCACGGAGACCACAAAGATCACTCAGACCATCACCACGGCAATGAAACAGACCATCACCACGGCAATGAAACAGACCATCACCACGGTAACGAAACAGATCACCACCATGTAGAGCCCCATAGAAACAGAAGTGAAGGTTCTCTGGTGCGCTCAAAACGAAGTCCTTCTGGCTTGGAAGAACAAGACGTCCACCAGAACATCTGGGATACGGTGAGGCATGTTCTTCTGTCCTACTCCTTAGTAATCTGGGTGAATTATGTTGCCTGTCGCTGGGGGAGAGCTTCCAACTGCTGCTCTGAATTCCATGGGGAAAAGAGTGCTTGACTTAGAATTGTTGTACCCATGAATTTAGAACAACCTTGGTTGCTACAGGAAAGCTACTTAATGAGGATCTCAGAGCAAAAGGTTCTTCCTGTAGGTGAGGCACAGCAGGAAAAGGTGTCCCAAGAGTGACTGGGTCCCTGTTTGTCCATGGTGCTCTGCTCCAAGGAAGGGGAGGAAGAATCCCTGCTTTGTGGGGCGCTGCTGCAGGGCACGGTATTTCAGAATGCTACAGCCATTATCTGCTGCGGCTACTCTGGCTGCCTTCTCCCCTTCTGAGAGGGGATCATGGCAGCTGTTCCCCGCCTGCCACACAGCCCGATAGAGAGGATCGGCTGTGATCCTCATTTGGGAAGAGCTGGGTTAGTGTGGTTGGCATCTGAGCTGGAAAAAAGCAGGACTGGCAGTTCTTGAGGCTTTCCTAGCCAAAATCCACCATTGCCCCTCTTTGTAGCATGGAGCCCAAGAGCACCACTTGCCAATGGCTGCAGATCAATGCCCAGTGATGGAATTATCACTCAAGGGCATCTCTTTCCTTCCAGGTCTGCCTGAGCCCCAGTGACATCTTTAAGATTTATGGGATCGATGATGCCACCGGAATCACCCACCCAGATTTCACCCGCCTGAGCCCAGCTCTGGTGCAGCAGAAACTCAGCAAAGCCTGCAGGGCCCCTCGGAATGCCCCAGCAGAAGGGCACCTCACCACGGCCGAGAGTGAGTCCATCCCCAGGAGGCCCTACTTGTTCTCTCTAAAGCTGTCAGGAAAGTGGGGCCCCAGATTCTGCTGGTCCCTTGTCTTGGAGGCCTCTCTTGGATGCTGCTGAAGACGTTTTGAGCTTTTGTGCTCACATGATGACCAGCTGCTTCTGGTCAGAATTTCAGGTGTTTTACCTCTAAAGCTTTAACCAACCTGGACGTGATTGGGATGTGTACCTCACTGGGAACCTATCAAGCCAGCCAGGGACCCATTAAAGAAGCCCAGTCTTTCTGAGGCATGTGGGAGAAGGCCTTCTCCGTGGAATTGACATTTGCCCCACTCTTCCTGCTTGGAAGCCAGGAGATAAGTCCTTCCTCAACAATGCCTTTGGAGTTGAGTTAAGGTGCTCCCCCCATGCATCCTTATTGGCAAACACTTCTCTCCCGGCCTAAGAGCAATTGTCCCCATGGCCAAGCTTTCTCCAGCCTCAACTGCTCCTGTTCCTAGTCCCTGCCAGTCCCTGCCTTCCCACCAATAGCTTGGGGACAAAGCCTAACAGGTTTTGCACACCTCAAAGCTGCCTTGGATGGTGCCAGAGGAAAGGTGAGGAGGCTTCTTTGACACCATTCCAGCTCAGAGGGCTTTCCAGCTGTCCCATTCAGGGTGTTGGGACAGCCTCATGGGGTCCAGGAAGAACAGAGGTTGCTTGCTGGCTGGGCATGTTCCTATCCTGGTTTGGATCGAGGCAGAAAAAGCCTTGGGTTACTTTCAGTAATGATTGAACGATTCACGTCTTAGTGCTAGCTGTCTTGAATATCCTATGGGCAGAAAGGGAGGATAGAAATGGTAAAAATAACAAATGGTAGAATGCCCTCCTTAAGCAGGTTTGGCACTCTTACCGTTCTGTAGCCTGGCTTCCTCCAGGCGTCATGAACGCACATAATCCTAGTCAGGGGACAGGCAGGGGATGTGTGGCTGACCACATAAGAACTAACATCAGTGAGAAGATACACCTTCAAAGTCCCCACTCTGGGCAGGATCATCACCCAGAATCAACAAAACTTGCATGGCAGGTGCCCTCTTGTGACCACCTTGCCTTGGAATAACGTGATCTGCTGTTTTTGATGTTATGCCTCCCCTTTTCTAGAGTACATCTATGGCTCGTTGGCCACGCTGGTCGTCTGCTTGTGTGCACTTTTTGGCATTGTGGTTCTGCTCTGTACGACTTGCATCAGCGCCTACCAATATGTGATCCAAACCTTTGTCAGCCTGGCAGTAGGATCACTCACCGGGGACGCCATGCTGCACCTCATCCCCAGGGTCAGTGCAGATGGGGAAGGGAGGCTTGGAGAGGCTGCCTGAAGGTTTGGAGGGAGGTCACAGGTGTGGTGCTGGATTAGGTGGGTCTCTGCAATCCAGCTGGCTCCTTCCATCTGCATGCATGCATTATAGGCATGAGGATAAGAGTGTGTGTGTGAGAGAGAGGTGTGTGGATTTTTGGACTGGTGGGCAAATCCAAATCCATGTTGAAGGAGGTTTTGGTGAGGGAAGCCCTTTCTGTGTTAGGGGATCTGATGGGGTTTCCAAACTTACTGACATTAGTGGAGGGAATGACAGGGCTCTACAGCCCTTGTTCATCCCCCAAACTATTCCAGAGCAGCATTGCATTTGGGCAGGAAGAAATGTAATGGAAGTGTAACTAGTAGCTCTACCAGACCCAGCCCTCTTGTGATCTCCATGCTATGAAAGACTCTCCCCCTTTTTTTGTTCTGGGTCCCAATCAAACTTGGACCATCATTCTCATTTCAGTTCTTGGGCCTCCATTCTCACTCCCACAGTGAGGGCGATGTCCATGACCACCATGAAGCTGAAGACCATGACAAACTGTGGAAGCTCCTGGCTGTGCTAGGAGGTCTCTATCTCTTTTTCCTCCTGGAGAAGTTCTTCATCCTCCTGGGACATTCACATGGCGAGGTAGGCTGGCTGCTTAATTTGAGCCTGAGTTTCCCACGGTAGCAGAATTGCACGCAACAGGAACCGAGTGGGATCAAACCTCAGTGCCTTCCTGACTCTTAGCTCATTCCAGTTTCACCCCCCCCCAACCTGCTGGTCTCCAAAGGCATTGGGCTGTTCCTTTCAGGATTCGGCTATACTCACAGGAAATTGGAGAACCCCACCTTGGAAGGACACCAGGTCAAGGAAGTCCATTTTCAATTTGAACCGAGGCTCAGCATTGCTTATAGTAACAGCAGAGCAGTTTGGAGAATATAACCGTGGATGGCCTCTCTATGCTTTCCTTGAGGTGGCTGAGGAAGTTGGGACATGGGGGGGACAAGCGGAGAGGGAGATATTTTGCAGGGACTTGGACCACTTGCACCCCTCAAGTTTCCAGCAACCTGGGAGAAAATGGGGGAGGGACTGGACTCTCCTAAACCTCTAGCTGTAAATTTCTGTTTGCACATACATTGATTTTAACTTTTTTTTTTTCCTGGCATAGAACTCCTTCCTGGCCTCCTGGGTTTGAAAAAGCTGTTAGTTCTTGTACATTATTCAGGGGTGCTCTTATCTACTTGTTTGTTCTAAAGCTAGGCAGTGGCACTGAGAAAGGGTAGAGCTACCACAAACAGGCTGCCAAGATACACTACAGCAGCGTCCCTCAAGCTTGGCCACTTGAAGACGTGTGGACTTCAATTCCCAGAATTCTC